GTAAAACAACCATTTGTATGCTATGGGAACTAAAATTGTATCTGGATGGAAGACATTAAAATGTCACTTGCATGCCTCCGGTAAATGTTTTCTATTAATATTATCATGCAGTGCAATGATTAAGGTAACTCCAGCCATATAGCGAAGTACATGAAGCGCATAACTGATATGTTTTATCTGCCATAAGGTTTGTAAAGTGGAGCACATTATTATCTGCAGTGTTCTATGGTTGTACATAACAAAGAGGGTGACAACACTCTTCAACGCCTACAGTTTTATAGACTCAATACCACAGCTTTGCCTCTGGCCACAGCAAACTTAAAAGCCCTCCAATAGCCCCCTACAATTTGCGGTCTTTCCTTTTTTGAAATCGAGTATTTCCAAGTTGTTTCTACCATCACAAATTTGAAAAATCAAGTAGCTCATGTATTGAACTTTCATTCGTACTTAAACTCAACAAAAATGTAAAATATTGCAGCTTACCAGTCTGTTTTAGATGAGGTGGTTGCATTAGTTTTTTCTTTTTCAGGATTTTTTTCCTTTTATTTTTACATGTTGATCCTATTAGTAACTAGCTTCCTATCTTAGGGTGACAACACATGCTCTATGAAGGAGTAGTGTTGTCACCCTAGACTGCGTTTTTGATTTGGGCTACAAACACCTTGCCTTCTCATCTATATTAAGGGAGAGGTTTTTTTTTAGATCAGAGAAGATAGCTGGGAAGGCAGATAATTCCTTTTCGAGACTTCAATTTAGTGCACAGGAAGCTACAAGGACACCAGAAAAATTCCTGATCCTGCCTGAAAAATCTGAACTTTCTGATAATGTATTTGGGCAGCAGATAGAAAAGTAATGCAGCCACCACACCTTAGAGCTTGTAAGCTGTGATTTATTGTATTGTTCTATATGCTGGCTGCTGTGTAGCAGACTGAGCCACAGTTCAGAGGATAGAGATGAATTGGTGTGGACTCCAGCTGACTTGTGTGCATCCAGTGAGAGGTCCCTCTGGCCTCCTGCCTCTCTTCATTGTCAGCTGTGAGATTGGTGGCAGGCAGCCGCGACACAACCCGCCTGCAGGACTTGAATGAAGAAGGGTGTGTCCCAGCTGAACAATCCAGTTTTATATCAAACATGCCAACATATTGCATAAATTTAACATCTGTCATGAAAGCTTTTCCTAAAGTCATAATGACTGACCTCACAACACTTTTCACATATGGGAAACCTTTGGAATGGGTGTGTATGAATGTGTGTTTTAATCATTTTTTTTTTTTTTTTTTTTTTCTCATTCATTGAGGGACACAAGAAATCTTTCACCTGTAGATTATACTGCTAGAGGAGGAGTGGACACCAGACAAAAAAAAAAAAAATAGGCCAGCCTGGGGTAATCCCTCCCACTACCAGCATGCCTCAGTTTTTGCTAGTGTCCTAGGAGGATGGATGCCTTCAGCAACTTTCACAGTACACCTGCTGTATGGAGATTAGAAACACCCTGTATCTCAGACACCTGGGTGTGTAAGGTCATCTTCAAGGGCTACAACCTGGCGTTTCGCTCTCTGCCCCATTCTCGTCTTGTGCCCACTATACGGATGAACATGTCCATTGAGCATTCTTGGGTCTTTTGGATCAAGGTTTCATTGCCCCAATTCTTGTGGCAGAGTGTTTTCAGGGGTTTTATTCCATCCTGTTCACGTTCCCAACAGTCCCGCATTTTCAACTTTTGTTCCGGGGTCTCAGTGTACAGGGGCTTTGTCTCGCATTACTCTATCCTTTTACATGCTAACTTCCGGCCAAGCAGGACCTGCAGCAGTGTGAACATCTAGAACAACCAGGGATAGGTGGGCAAGCCAGCAGGTCTTGTAGTGGCAATGAGAGAATGCAGCTGTCAACTCCAACCTGTGATGTCAGGGATGGGCTGGGCCAATAGGCGTTTCAGGGGCTCCACCCTCTTTGTCAAGCCAGCACAGCATAGACAAACAGCCGGCATTTATACATTGCTGGCCATGGAAGACCGTGACAAAGGTCAGGACCAATTGGAACTACTGCATGTGCACCAGCAGCAGTATATAATAAACCTGAATTGTAGCATCTGCAGGTGCACATGCAGTGGTTCCAATTGTTCCTGCCCCTTGCCGCCTTTTTCCTGGTTTGCACTGTATTAATGCCTGTTGTTTCCCTATAAAGGGGTTGGTTTTAAAAGGGGGCAGGGCCCCTGAAACACGTCGGCTCTGACATCACAGGTTGGACTTGACAGATGCACTCTCTCTCATTGCAGACGTACCCTACCGGCTTGTTCGCCAATCCCTGGCTGTGCTAGATGTTCACACTGCTGCAGGTCCTGCTTGGCAGCACTTATTTTGTTTTCCATCTGATGCCTGCATTCCTGCCTTGGCTCCTGTATGCTGTTAATCAAGATTTTAGAATGTGTAGGTTTAATTGGTGTCTTTGCAGTTTAACTTCTGAACCTTGCACTCTGTATGAAACACACTCCTGAATCCTGCACTCTGTGCATAATACGTTCCTGAATCCTGCACTCTGTGCATAATACGTTCCTGAATCCTGCATTCTGTGCATAATACATTCCTGAATCCTTCCACACTTTGTGTAATGCACTCTTCCACAGTTTGTGCAAAACCATTTGTAATGAATGTTTGTTTTTTTTTATTTTTTTTTTTATTTTTTTTATTAAAGATTGTGCTGGGCTTTGTGTCCGTGAGACTCTTGCTTGTGGCATAGCAATCAAAGCATATTTTATAGGCCCTCCTAACTCTCTTGAATTGTTGCTGTATTGTCTCCCTTTATATTGTAAAGCGCCGAGCAAACTGTTGGTGCTATATAAATCCTGTATAATAAGTTTGTTGTGTTGGGGAAGAGTCCTGGTTACTTTTCTGGTACAGGGAGCTTGGTCAACGTTGTTGGAAGTCTCATCTTATCAACGCCCTTGAGCTTTCATTGATTTGTCTGTCTCTGCAACATTGGATAAACCCGAAATTTCACCACAGCAAGAGGGTTGGATTGCATCTTCTGTTGGGCAGAACTTCATGTAAACATAGAGCTGTTCCAAGACCTGTCACAGGTTCTGGTGTCTATAGTTTTTATATGGTGGTTTCTGAGGCACTTAAAGAATCGTCTATATTGTACCCCATAAGGTGATATTCTAGTATCCATCACATCTGACCACTGGCTGTTGACCTCCCAGGTTCAACCACTAACTAAGCAGGTTTGTCACCAGGTACAGGGATCCTCTGGCAAAAGTAGTGGGTGCTCTAGTGACTACATGGAATTGGTACACCCTGATCTATGCCTTTCCTTCCCTGAAACGTCTTCCTTGTCTGCCTCACAGGATCAAGCTGGAGGGCATTTTGGTGATCCTTATTCTTAACTGGCCCGGGTGGGTGTGGTATGTAGACCTGGAGAGACAACTGGCAGATGATCCATGTGCTTTACCAGAATATCTGAATCTTCTGTCTCAAGGACAGATTTACCATCTTGCTTCAGTGCCCGGCTTTAACATCATTCCTGCGACGTTAAAAACGTGAAGTCCTCCATTGAAGGAACACTTCACCTGGTGGGGGTCTGGGTCTTCCACCCTAGGAGTTCACCATGGGATGAATCCTCTTCCCACAAAGTCTGGGCCAGCATTCGGCTGTCATCAGAGGTCAGGCTTCTTCTCTTATGGTCTTGTTTTGGAGACCATTGGCCTAACACCTTTTGATTATGACCTTTAATACAGGGATTCTCCCATGTAGCTCCCTCCCTGTTCATTTTCCTGTGACTTCGATCTAAATGTGTCTGTTTTTAAATGGTGGTTTCTGAAGCACTTAAAGAACCAGAGCTATATTGTACCCCATAAGGTGATATTCTAGTATCCATCACATCTGAGCTACTGGTCTTCTTATGCAAAACCAGAAAAGGTTGCTTGCAGAAAAACAAGTTGTTGTTGAGGCCCAGGACATACTCCCTGCCTTAGGTATTTTCTACCTTTCATCCCAATCGACTCCGTTGAAAAATTATTTCCGTCCATTGTCTGTCTGGAGTTGGTTCAAGCTGTTGAGGTCTCACCATCTCAGTCTCTCTGCTTTTGTAAAAAGACGGATTTTTTTTTTTCTTTTGTCACCCTAGACAGTCCTAATCCAGGTACACCAGCTTCTCATTGCACCAACTCATGGCTCGGAGCATTTAGAAATAATTATGTCTTAACAATACCCTGCGAAATGTACCCTTTTAGTTTTTTTTTCTTTAATTCCTCCTGTTAAATAGCAATGTATTTCCTATGCCTAGGCACTCCCGTTCTTTAGTCTCATTACTGTATATCTGCAGTGTGAGATCATCTTGGACACTGCTACTGCTGACTGCTAGTCTTGCTAAATTTAGAGTGAAATTTGGTGATTGTCAGTACTATCTGAGGCCATTATGGTAGTAATGCGAAGGTGAAGAGGCTTGGCACTCAGGGGAGAGCATAACCAAGCAAAGATTTAGGATGTATACATATAGGTGGGATTCAGATTTAATTCACAGGTGACTGAAAAAAAAGCCTCGCTATTTTACTGCCTACCGCTCAGCCACCTGTGGATTACATCTGAGTCATCTTCTCTGCAGCACTGGAGTCCTGCGTTCATTGTTCCAGCCATGAAACTGTCTTCACATAGTTTGTACATTAGCCCTGTGCTGGGGTTGGTTTTCTCCAGGTAGTTTGGTTTCCTGCCATGCACCAAAGCTATGCTAATAGGTCCATTTGTGTATGTATGCATGTGATATAGGGGACCTTGGACTGTAATACAGCTCCTTGAGGGCAGGGACTGATCTGAATGTACATTATGGTAAAGCACTGTGTAAACTGTTTGTGCTACATAAATGTCTGCATTATTATATTTTATATATATATATATATATATATATATATATATATATATATATATATATATATATATATATATATATATATATATATATATATATATATATAATTTTTTTTTTTTTTTTTTTTTTTTTTTTTTTTTTTTCAGTCCACGCAATCTCAAGAAGGGTTCAAGCTGGAAGATCTAAAGAAACTAGAGCCAAGTAAGTAGACCGTTGTTAAAGAAAACTTGTCCCTAAGCAAAATGCTTGTGGGAAAGCACTGATGGAAGCAACCCTTCCTAACTTGTGCCACTTGCTGATTTCTGAAGAGGTGATGCAGGGAATAGCTTATTTACACTACCGTACAGTAATGGCTGCTGCTTGGTCACCTGTTGGTAATAATTGGTACTGCCTTATGACAAATATATATAGGGGCCCTATGAAAAACATGCAATTCTGCTGGTCAGACTCATATCCTTCAAAAGTATAGAGGTTTCCAATGTTGCCATTTTTATTAGGACCTCATTTTTAGAGACCGTTCCAGACTGGTTCATAGCAATTGCTACTGGGGCCCAGATTTTTTTTAAGTAGATAGGAGGTGGTTGAAAACAATAGTAACCACCCATAACAAGTGTATGGAGACCCCATTAGCAATATCCCTGGTGGTTTTATGTCTCTACACCCCTTCCTCAGGCCCATAGCAAAAACCATAGGGGCAGGGAGGAGTCTGAGAATTGAGACCACTTCAGAACTCTTGAAATTTTATTATTTCTGTCACTTTGGAGTGGGATAAGCTTTTAAAATCCAAATGTGCGGTATTTTTTAATATTGTTTTTGTTCTAGTTCTAGACAACCTTCTAACCTACAATAAAGAATTCCCTTTTGATGTACAACCTGTTCCTTTAAGGTGAGTGGACTTTAGCTCCCTGGATGATCACCTGGCATCATTTATACATGTCTATATATTGATATGAACAGGAGTACTTTTCTTTTTACGACTTATTTTTATGTGCCTGCTCTTCCATATTTTTAATGCAATAAATAGAGATTTGTAGTGAAGCCCATAGAGGGGGTTTTGTTGCTTACTGAAAGCACTCAGATTGCCTGGCTAACAACTTTTAATATATCCACCTCATGGGCGCATTGCTTTCAATGGATCAGCAATTTGTATGGTGTAAAGCAGTACAAAGCAATGAACAAATATGGCTGCCCCCATGTACACATTACAACTATATACTGAAATAAGGCTTTGTAAACTAACAAATGAATCCATGTATACATGAAAAAGAAAAATGCCATACATCTCCCCCTCTACATTATGGCAGACTCTGCTGTGTGTTGGTCCTTCTCCATGCACCATAGGAAGTGTAGAAGAGTGAAAGGTGTTTTTTTTTTTTTTTTTTTTTTTTTTTTTTTTTTACAAAGTCTCTGCTACATAAAAAAAAAAAAACCCATCCTAGGGTTTTTTGGGGATTTTTTTGTACTCCTTGTAAATATTTCTAACTAAAGAAAAGGAATATGGAGATGTCACAAGTTGCACAGATGTTCTCATCTATTTTGTTTTGTAGGAGGATTTTGGCACCTGGAGAAGAAGAAAATTTGGAAGTGGAGGAGGAGGAAGAGGATGGAGGTGCTGGGGTGGGTTCTCCAGACTCCTTTCCAGCCCGTGTACCGGGTAAGAGTGGTTTGTTTCTCTAGGTATTCAAAGCTGGAAGGTTAGGATGGCAATTCTGAGAATTTATTTCTCTCATTACACCAGCATATGCTAGTTCAATGGTTTGATTTATTTATTCCCTTCTGCATTATGTGTTTGTGTGAACTGATCTTCTATGGATCTAGATGAAAAAAATACTATATTTGGCATCAGTCATTTTTAAAGCGGCTGTAGGGAGCACTAATGTGAGCTTTGTCTTGTAAAAGTCCTGTAATGTCAGTGATCTCTGGCAGCCTCTAACCAGTCTTACAGTATGTCTATGGTCCCAAACCATTACTGCAGTATGTCTGTAGTCCCCAGCCACTCCTGCAGCATGCCAGCGTAAAGGCTGAACATTAATGTGAGGCCCTCAGGGGTGCAGTTGTGGCCTCTTATATCTAACAAGTAGACCATCCTTGCCAAAGCTCTTGCAGCCAGGACACGTGTACTACTTCTTCCTTTTTTTTTTTTTTTTTTTTTTTTTAATCCTTTGCATTTTTGTAAACTGTAAATTGCTGTGTGATATCTTGCCATTTCATAGGGAGTAGTCTATTAATATATATGCATGCTCTTATTTCTCCCTGTGCCATGACCCCGGCGCTCCCTGCATGCTCCATTTTTTATGTCGCCTCATTGTGCTTCTACCCACGCTGCTCTACATGCATGGCCTCTACATGTGCTGGTGTCCCTTCTATCATCACAGGAGCCATACAAGGTAGGGATACATGGAACAAGTTATTTTTACTTTTTTTTTTTTTTTTTTTTTTGCCCCCCCCCCCCCCCCCCCCCCCCATGTAATATTTCTTTGAATTGTTTGAGGTTTAGTTGCATCCTTACATCACTCAGAGGCTGGAGGAGGAACACATCCTAAAAGTGTTACCTAGATGCAGCACACAAAAAATCGGATCTCCATCCAGACTCAGCTGAGCTCCATGTTAGCGCCTGTGTCAGTGGGCTTATATTAGCTTCAAAGGGTTTTGCATGCTCATACAAATGTATTGGAGTGTAACAACCTCTTGAAACAGATCAAATACAGGTCAGAAGGAGGTCAAATGCAAATATCCATAATTTCTGAATGATCTCAGAAATGTTTCAAACTAATGGCATCAACACTAGCATAAAGCCCCTCGGCACAGCCTAGCAGCCAGGTAAGCAGCTGATCAGTCTGATCTGTGTCTGACTGCATTGGAGGCCAGAGGAGAGGGGGGGGGTCTCGCCATAAAGAGGACCTGTCACGGCCCATGCTTTCACAAGGGATGTGGCCCATCCCTTGTGAAAGCAATAAAGTTGATTTAAAAAAAATAGTAAAACATTTTTCAAATAAAATAATTACAAAAAAAGTAGGCGGTCGGTCAAACCATCCCCCCCCACACCCCACCCCCCTCCCCACTTACGCGCCAAAGCATACGTCCGTCACATGCACCAAAACCGTGATTGCACCACACTTGTGAGTTATTGTCGCTTACGTCAGAGTGAGGGCAATAATTTTAGATCCAGACTTCCTGTGTAACTCTAAACATGAAACCTGTAAAGGCTTTTAAAGCGTTGCCTATGGAGATTTTTAAGTACTGTACTTTGGCATCGCTCAGTGGTCGCACACAATTTTAAAGCGTGACATATTTGATATGGATTTTACTCAGCATAACATCTTTTATATTTCAACAAAAAACTAGGTACTATTTAGTGTGTGTTAAATAAAATTCATTAAAGTGTATTTGTTAAAAAAAAAAAAAAAAAAATTGAGTTTGAAAAACCACTGCACAAGTACCATGTGACATAAAAATATATTTGCAAAACCCACCATTTTATTCCTTAGGGCCTCTGTAAAAAAGTGTGTGTGTGTGTTTTGCGGGTTCTAAGTGATTTTTAGCAAAAAAAATACAAATTTTTTACATGTAGGAGAGAAATGTCTGAATTGACCCGGTAGGAAACTGGTTAAAAGTCCAGGGCATCCAGCATCAAGTGCTAACACATTTCGGCTACACACCTCAGCTTAGGCTATAAGACTATATAGACGAAATGCATTAGCATTCTTGTAAGTTGGATGCCCTTCATTTTTAAACTAATAAACTTTTCTTATTATTGCAGTTGAACTATTTTGCTTATTTGAGTGATAGAGGGCTAACAGGAGCCCAGCTATTCCTAATAGATCTCTTCTTAAGGTATTTATTATGTGATTTTTTTTTTTTTTTTTTTTTTTTTTTTTTTTTTTTTTTTCCCTAGGAACTCTTCTACCCAGACTACCTTCCGAGCCTGCGATGACACTACTCACCATACGAATTGAAAAGATTGGCTTGAAGGATGCTGGCCAGTGTATTGACCCATACATAACTGTCAGCGTGAAGGGTCAGTGTCTGCATCCTTATGCTTTCCTCTCCTCCTTTCCTCCTTTCCTTCTTTCTTTCCTTCTTTCTCCCAGTGAAAAAGTCCAGAGGGAGAATTTAAGACCTATGCAGTGTGGAGGAAATATTTCTCTGACTGTTCTAATCCCTTCAGGAAGTGTGAATTAGTTGAGCATCACTTGGGAGCCGTCATGTGGGCATTCCACAGCAACTGTGAATGTCAGGAGTGTTTGTTATCTTGTAGAAAATGGACAACATACTGGAGAATCTCTGTCAAAGGATCATTTTCCGTGGCCTTGCAGTGCCTGTTCTGTGCCTCTCAATTTATTTATGTTGGGGTTCAGCTTCCAACAAATCTATTGCTTTCCCAAAGGTTCACTTTAAATAAAGTACAGACTGACTACACTATTAGAGGTGATGTTTACAAACCTGTTGCAGCAGGGCACCTGGGATAGCAAGGGTAGAAGTCGCAAACACAAAGTGCCATGGCATTGCATCCTTTGATAATTTCAGATTAGTGTTGGTAATGTGTCTGCCTAATTTTCTATTTTGATAAATGTTCTCCATTATCTGACACGGCACTTCTTTTGATAGGATTGTACGGCACAATGTTTTTTGCTGATCTAAAAATACAAAGTCTGTTGCAGCGCTTGGCTTAGGATAACTGCCCAATGATATTGCCTCTTCTTGGAAGGTCTCCTTATCCCTCTGATCCGTGGTTTTGCTTCTGACATGTGCATGGTGTTGTGGTGTTTTTTTTTTTTTTTTTTTTTTTTTTTTTTTCCCCCCCCCCTCTCCATTCCCAGGAGAGCCGTTTATCCTGACTGCCCCTTTCTGGGAATCCTGTCCTCTCGGTCCAAGCTTCACAGCTGCTCACACCAGATTTTCTTACCATGTTGTCATTTTGGCTAACTAACTGCTCCACACCTTTTGGAAGCAATCTTCCAGAGCATACTAATGGCAGCAGTGCATTGTGGGAGCCATGTCACTCCTCTGTATAGTCAGAACATGCCAAACAACCTTTTTTAATTTTGATTTGCAACCCTCCAAAATATAAATGGAAAACTATTTATGCCTTTTTGGATGTTAATCTGTATATGATTCTGTTTATACGATGTTCTCTTTGACATTGATCCTGTGGGCTGGTCTTGGTACAAACAGCCTTCACAGTTCACTAAATAGTTGTAATTCTTGCAGTTCATAGCAGCATTATAAGAGAACATTCTCAGTGATTTTTTTTTTTTTTTTTTTTTATAAAAGTCTCATGGCTCAGTAAAGGATTCTTACTGGCAACTCAACCATGCAGCCTATTTTTGTTCAAGTATCGTTGCCTTGAAACATTGACACTGTCTTCTCTTTTTTTTTTTTTTTTTTTTTTTTTTTTTTTCCAGAGCAGCCTGTATTTCTGTTGAAGTTACCGGTGGGTTTTTCTTTGTATCCTAAACAGTTTTTCTGGCAGTTGTGGCTACAATATTTCTTGGTCCACCTGATCTTGGCTTGGTATCAAGAGATCCCTGAATTTTCCACTTCTTGATAACTGATTTGAACAGTACTGTCTGGTATATTCAGATCTTTAGATATTTTTACATCCTTCTTTATAAAGTTCCTTTTACCTTGTTACGCAGGTCTTTTGACAGTTCTTTTCTGCTCCCTGTGACTTGGCTCCCACGTGGATGCACTGAGCAGGCTAGATACTAACAGAATTGTTGACTATTTATACATACACAAATTTTAATTTAAAAAGCCACAGATGTGGTAAATAAACCTTTTTAGGCCCCATGTGCACGGAACACTTTTGAACGATGGAAACTGACTGCTGGAAAATGTAGGTTAAAAAAAGTCTGTTTAGCCACATTTCCATAACACGTTTTATGTGCATTTTTTAAAGATAAGCACAGGAGAACTTTCCAAATGGACATAATGCACTGAAAAGTGGTAAATTATGAACTATTTCAGACTGTTTCTGAGAAATACAGAGAGTAGAAGCAGAGACAGCAGTATGTGTTGAGATAATTAGGTGTGAGTTGTTCATTAACATTTCTTGTTTCCAAGCATGGGAAAAGGTGTCTGGTGGAGGGAGTCATTAAGGCCACCTGGCAGGGGGTCTTCATGAAGAATTTGAGGTGGGAATGGTCATTCACATATCTTTTGTTTCCAAGGGTGGGAGAGGCCTGAGGAGTGAATTGGTCATTACAATGTGTGACAAGCTTGGTAGGAACATCCTGTGTTCACTGTTTTGTCCATATGAGTACCTTGAAAACTCTTTGCATGCAAAAATTTAAAACCCTTATAAACGTGATTTTTGCCGCATTTACAAGCATTTTGCATTTGAAACGCCGATAAGATCGAATGCAGAACGCAAGTTTTCTGCATTCAAAAAAACGACTAAAAACTCAAATGCCTGTAAACGAAGATGTGTACATGGACACATAGGAAAACATTAGGGAGAGTTCAGGGGCTGCTGAAAAAAATGCTGAACATCTCCTAAACGTGAGTTTATCAGCTGCAGTGTACATGAGCCCTTAATTGCCATTTTTTTAATGGCAAACTTTTGAGCACAACTATATATACATGGAAAAATTTACAAATTCCTCCTAAATATTAAAGCTAAAACTGTATTGAGTTATTAAATAACAAATATTTGTTTAATTTTTAATTGCTCCTTTTTGGGAAATGGTGAAAACACAAAGTACACAAAACTGTAAATGAAACGATTTACTCAAAATCTGGAGGCTATCATTTTTCACTTGCAGCTTTCAGAGTTTGAAAAGCCTCTCTCCCCCCTTCCCCCCCCCCCCCCCCCCCCCCCCCCCCCCCCCCCATACATTTTTCTGAAAGCATGTGACTTTTAGAATTATTAATTGTGCTACTGATATTTATTTTTTAGGCCCAGCAATAGTTGCGCAAATGTTTATCAGTTCCCTATTTTTATTTTTTTTTTACTAAAAAATACACTAAAATTATTATTACTGGATACATATATATGGCAAAACTTTAAACAAAATTCCTGCTAAGTTCCTGCTTAAATATAAACGCTAAAACTTGAGTTAATAAATGACAAATATTTGTACATTTTTATCATTTTTGCCATTTTGTGAAATCGTGAAAATTTAAAGGTGCACTAAACTGTAAATGAAAACCATTCACTCTAAAAATCTTTTTTTCACTTACAGCTTTTCACACCATATATTTTCTGAAAGCACATGACCTGTAGAGTAGAAAAAACTGCTTCTGATATAATTTTTCTTTTACGCCACCCAATAGTTGCGCAAATGTTGCGCAAACTCTATTTTTACTAAAAATACACTTAATACCATTTTTAGTGCACACAAACACAACATAACTTGTACAATTACAGCTAAAATTATACTAAGACCTTGCTCACATGGGGCGTACTAAAGTGTATGCCCGTGGAGAGCCATGTTTAACCACTTAGGTGTTCTGTGCATCCCCATGCAGGCAGTCCAATTCTTGTCATTTGGGATGCAGCGGCTGCAAGGGCATAGCTGCTGCTCCCAATCTGACATCCGTGTGGGTACATGGCCCTGAATGCAGACAGTGTGAGCTCAGGGACATGCTTCTGGATCCGCACAGATGTGGAGATGCACGGAACACCTCTGCATCCCCATGCAGGTAAACTGCCTCACAGGATCACTGCACTGTACATGAATGAATGGGAGTCTAACAGTCTATATATTCATTCACAAAACTGCAGAATAGTAAACTGTTTACTATTCTCCAGTGATGAATGGACACAGGATCGATGAACTCACTGGTAAACACACAGTTTGTCCGATGGGGACTCCTTCCTTCCTCCATCAAAAGTTCTTTTATGGATTACACTGCCTGTAACACAATCTGTGAATGAGGGAGAAAATCTTTTGACTGATCAGACCCTCCCCATTATAGACTGTGTTATAGGCAGTACATTAGGTGATCTCACACAGAATTACAGCTGTATACTGCTATTTTTCAGAAAGAATTCAAAACAAAAGGTACAATTTTCAAGGCACTGATTAGATCCAATTAATACTTCTTGATGTTCCCAATAAGATAACAAATCTTTGCTTTTTAAGTTCAGGTCCTCTTTAAATGTAATCATGCCTTGCTGTGGACTGCCCTCCCACGTTAAAGAGCAACTTTCGTCAAAAAATTACCGTATTTTTCGCCATATAAGACGCACCCAATTTTAAAGGAGGAAAATCTAGAAAAAAAAGATTCTGAACCCAATACTGTCCACCATTGCCCCCACTCATCACTGTAAAGTCCACCATTGCCCCCCACTCGTCATCACCATCACTGTTCCAGTGCAGCATTGCCCCCACATTAGTAATAATAGCCAGTAACATTGCCCCCACATTAGTAATAATAGCCAGTAACATTGCCCCCACATTAGTAATAATAGCCAGTAACATTGCCCCCAACATAATAATAATAGCCAGTAACATTGCCCCCACATTAGTAATAATAGCCAGTAACATTGCCCCCACATTAGTAATAATAGCCAGTAACATTGCCCCCAACATAGTAATAATAGCCAGTAACATTGCATTGCCCTGCTCCTCACCTGTAGATCCGCGCTATGGTAGGATCCACGAGCAGAGGGGGTGATGACGTCAGCGCGCACCGCCGGGTGTACTAAGATGGCCGACCGCTCCAGAGATAGGCCAAAGCCGCGGCCTTTCCTACGGCCGTGGCCGCGCCTCACGGATTCTCTCTCTATTCGTCGTATAAGACGCACCAACTTCCCCCCCCCCCCCCCCCCCCCAGTTTTGGGGAAGAAAAAGTGCGTCTTATAAGGCGAAAAATACGGTAAGTCCTGCAGGATCATTTCAGGCTTGCCCCTTTTGCAGGTATAGCTATGTAAAACATAAGTGCCTATACTGTTAAAATCCAGTAATGCACTGTCTCACCCTGCTCTGCACATGCTTAAGTGCTCTTTATTTTTTGGCGCTGTGCAGGCAATGTAGAGGCCAAACTGCTGACAGCCTAAAGATTTACTGCTGCTCTGGGGCTCTGAGCTATAGCAAAATGGCAGTCTCTGGCAAGAAATGAATCAGGAACCGTGCTGGAGGCAATTTACAGCACACGCTATTTTTTGGTAGCATAATTGAGGAATGTGCCTTGCTAAAGAACATTATTTTTCATCAAGTTCTGGGTAAAGTTCTGCTTTTTAAGATTAAATTTACTGAATGAACCTGTATTGGGGAAGGTGAGAACAGTGTAATAAGAACGGTTCATGGTCTTTTTTTTGTTTTGCAGATATAAATGGTATAGACTTGACCCCTGTACAAGACACTCCCATGGCGTCCCGGAAAGAAGACACATATGTTCATTTTAATGTGGAAATTGAAATTCAGAAACACATTGAAAAAATCACAAAAGGTATATTTTCCTCTCTTCTTTTTTTGTTTAAAAATGCATTAGAATTAAGGCAGCTCCAGTTAAACAGCCACTTATGTAGAAGAACCCAAAAATTAAGTGCAAGAAACCTCGTTGGATTTGTCAGATGAAAACCAACATTGCAAAAATGAAACCAGCTTGGTAATCATGTGCAATCACTCACATCCTGTCTCCATGTCTCACTACTCTAACTAGTCAGAACAAAAATGACCCAAATTAAAGAGGTTATAATAACCAACGCTTTGTCATAAGTTTAAAAAATTGTCTTGCATTCTCCTTTAAAGCGCTAGTAGACCGCCAAAAAAAAAGAAATTCCCCTGCGAAATGTCATAATGTGCCAGTATGCATCGCATTAGGAAAGACTTGCCTTAGAAATAAGCCCTCCAGTGGCGTGCTGTCACCGCTGACCAGGCTTCCACCTTCACCCGGTCTTCCTTCTGGGTTTGCAGGCTCTGGCCGCTTGATTGGCGGAGCCGCGATAACTTCACTCCTGTGCATGCTCACGGGAGTCTTTGCTGCAGCACAGAGCTCTGAAGGAACAGCACGGATGCGCCGGTGGCATGTGGCTGTGCTGTGAATTTTACCGCAGCCTTTCTGGGCCCATGAAATGTTCCAGAAAGTTGCAGGCGTAGAGAGCGGGCAGGGGAGGGTGGTTTGTGGGGTGGTAGAACTTATAGGTGATTTTACTAGAAGTGGTAGAGGGTAGCTGCCAATTCAGGTTTCAAAAGAAGAGGATGGGTGAGAGGGCATAAAGCAAAACTTTCCCTTTTTTTTTATTTAGGGTGAGGTTTCACGTTAAAATATTTTACAGAGGAAATAGAATACATTTCTTTATTATTAATAAAAATATATATATAAAAATGTATTTTATTTTATTTTTTTATTTAACTATATATGACCTCCTCACGGAGATTTCCCCTCCCTTCCTGTCCTTGTGATGTCCATATGAAATGATGAGTGTATGCTTGTCACCAGGCCAGGAGGACACGGACAGCAATAAAAGCTTTTTACCAGAACTTTCCCTCTTCCTTCTTTTAAAAGCTAAGGTGTGTGTTTTTTTGTTTTTTTTTTTTTTTTTGTTTTTTTTTTTTTCTTTCTGTGTCCTTGTTGGGGAGATTCACAATCCCTTCCTGTTCTGACAATAGGGACACAGACGGCAGTAAAAACCTGAAAGCGGTTTTAAAACCAGATTGCAGCTTTCAGTTTTCCAGGTGCCTTTGGCCCAGGCACATAATGCATGGGGTCTTCTTCTCTGGTGGGGTGCAGGTCCAAAATGCTGCAGAGAATAGCACTCTCATAGTGACACGAGTTGTGTTCTCTGCCCCAATAATATTATTATACAGGGTTTTTATAGCTCCAAGATTTGCTGCAGCACTTTAAAATAAAGGGAAATGGTAGTTTAAATATAGTTCAAGAAAAGATGGCTATGGCCATGCTCATGACAGCTTGCCATCTAAAAAGGAGAGTAAAGTGATACAGGAGGATAGGCTTCTTTGAAGAGGTGAGTTTCAGGGATCCCCTATAGGCAGGCCAGAGTTGGAGATAGGTGGACAAATCTGGGTAGGACGTTCCGAGGAACTGGAGAGTTCCTGGAGGTGAGTAGGTGACAATGGAGCTTAGAGAGTAGGTTGTGTGAGGAGCAGAGGGGACCATTTGGGTGATCTATTGAGACGAAGTTGGTGATGTAGTTTGGGACGGAGTTGTGGATGTCTCCTGTGAGCCCCAGGGCTACTCCTCGGCACACAGGAAATAGGTTGCATGACTAAGGTCCTGCTTATTTGTAGTTTTTGATTGGCTGCAAGATGTAACCCCTTCTCAGTCACCTTTCTTGGCCACATTGTCCTGAGCACTTTTCATGAATGTTCTCTCTGGACTCCTCATCATGTGTGATCACCTCCTTGTGTCTGACTTTTAGGGGCAGCTATTTTCTTTGAGTTCAAGCACTACAAGCCGAAGAAGAGGTTTACAAGCACAAAATGTTTTGCCTTCATGGAGATGGACGAGATCAAATCGGGACAGATAGTAATAGAACTGTGAGTGATTCTTCATGTGTAGGTGCATGCTGTCTTCTTGATCACTGTGATGTTTTAAAGTGTTTGTCTAACCAGAAAATTTTCCTAAATATAGTGGGAAGGGATTAGAATCCTTGTATGAGGTTTGTACTGCTATCTGGAGATTTACGTTCTCTTCCTGTCCTTGGCAACATTTTGTACCAGCTGGAGTTTGAGCTGTTCTAGCGGGATGATGCCTACAGCTACTCTGGTACATTTTTAAAAAAGAAAAGCGATTGATCATACTGATCTTGGTGTGATTAAATGCTTTTAAGGGCAGAGGAGGGATTTGGGGTCTTGTTGAACTCAGATCTCTCCATAAAGAGTCCCTCTCACATGCCTATTGCTGTCACAAGGGAGGTTTAAATTCCTTGTGACAGCGATAAGTGATTAAAAGCATAAATAAAATGTATTTTTACACTATCTCTTTGAAAAAAAAAAAAAATCTTTTTTGAACTTGCCCCTGTGCTTGCGTGGAAAAGGTGAATGCATGCGTCAGTCTCGCACGTACGCAAACGGCGATCATTCCACACAGTCACTTATTAATTTGTTTATGAACAGTGCCACTGAATCACTTAGGGTTCATTTGTTGTTTTATATGATTTATTTCACTTTAAGGTGGCAGCAGTTTTTATTTGGATATATTGTATTATATTTCATTTTTGTTTAACTTGCACGCATCTAGCGCAAACTTTTTTTTTTTTTTTTTTTTCACATGTATAGCTTGAATGTGTGCTTAGTAAATACCTGAAAAAAACTAAAATTGTGCTTGTGTCCAAATGTATATGGACCCAACTGTACCTTCAGCTAAGACATGCCCTACAGGTACAGGCCAGACATTCTACGTTGTCTTTAGTTGACCACCCTTTCTTGATGGAGGTGATGTTGGAAACCAGTAAAAAGAGTATGATCTCTAGGATTTATTCCAGTCTGCTTTCAATTGTACAAGATTCTGCTAAATTGCCCTGCAGACGTAAGTGGGGGAACAAGACCTAGTGGACTTTGGAAGAGATATCTGGAAGCTGGGTTTACAGTCCAACCCCCTTAGTTCTGTTTCTCCAGTCATATAAATTGTCCCAATTGTTCCTGCTACATAGGGCTGATCGTACACCAACCCAGTTGTATAATTGGAGTAGGCGAGATTCTCCTCTCTGCCCCAAATGTCGCAATGATGAAGGCGACCTCATACATCTCTTGTGGAGATGCCATAAACTTTATTGGAAATGAGCCACTGATACAATATCTGCTGTGCTTTAACTTACAATTCCTGTGGTTTGTTTGCTGAGCAATATCGATGAGGAACTTTTTCCCTCACTACAACATATAGCTCTCATCCAATTGTATGTTGCCTGAAAGCAAATTGCTAGATTTTGGATGTCTCCCATGTCCCCACCATAAAACATTGGATCAGTCAGGTCAGCTCTATCCTGATTCAGGAAAAACTCACTTACCAGCACAGAAATGCACACCGCAATTTTTTTTCTTATGGCAAGCATGCCTTGAGTCTCCTGGACTAGCTCCTCACCAATAAGTCATGGAACAATTATTACAGGGGTAAGAAGTATTATGTCACCTTATATTTATACTTTAGATACAGCGGGTTGAAAGGTGAATCCACTAGTATATATTTATTGTAAATCCAGCTGTGGATAATCGTTTTGGTTATACTTTTTATTGAAGGCGATAGGACTGTGGCCGGCTGATTTGCTGGTCCTTTTTTTAGAATTTTTTTTTTTTTTCTTTTGTACTATTTACTTTTTTTTTTTTTTTTTTGCTATTATACACCTTGTGATCTCACCATTGTCATTTGAAGGTCACCTCTACGTTCACCTTGCAGTTACACTGCTAGCCTGTTCATTCAACTGCAAAATGTAATGCTGTCAAATGTTCATTTTTGTATCTGATGGCAGATTTACTTTGTTTTCTCTGCATGTTGGCAACATGCTGTGAGGTTTTTGTACATTTTTGAAGGTAGCTCAGTAATAACTTTCTTTGATTTAAAAAAATAAAAAAAAAAAACTCACTGCACAGATTCGGCAATGCTGAAGCTGACAGATCTCCTGCACATGCTGGAACATGAAGTCTTGCCTGATATATTTGCCTGATATATATAAGAGTCCCAAGTGGGGCTTCATGTTTGTTTGCCCAGTCTAATAAAGCTATTCCTATTAGATTTTACTGAAGTGCTGCCACCACTTTTTTGTTTTTTTGGACTTATTTTACAGTTTCAGCATAGCAGAGGTGAAATAGGGCTTGGAAACAGAGTATATCTACTTGTATGTCGTGGTAAATTATGTTCCATTTTGTGTAATTCAATTTTAAAGTCTACTTAATTGATCTGCAGCTACAAGAAGCCAACGGACTTTAAAAGGAAGAAACTACAGCTGCTAACCAAGAAGCCTCTGTATCTGCACTTACATCAGACGTTACATAAAGACTGACCCTCTCCTGAGTCTTCCATCTTTCTGCGCAGAAGACCTACATCTCACCGCAGATACCACCTCCTGGTCTGTGACTTGGCCAGGACCCACTGCTGGAAGAGGAACTGACAAGCTGACGGCAAGATGGTTCTGCTGCAGTTCCTGATTTTATGCTACAGTAGTAAAACCTGTGTAATTACCAGATGAGCTGTCAAACATTACAGGGAGTTCGCCGTCCCCACAGATCAGCGCATTCATGGACTTATTGTGACCGGTTCACTTCTGTATATAGTCGTTAACACAACACAATTTATGACTATAATGCTAATCGGATTTTCATACCAACCAGGACAAGTTCTGGCTGGAGGGCAGTGATTTCGATACAACCTGAAATTCAGAGATAAGTCTGTGTTAAAATTTAGTTCCACATCTCAGCTCCACCTGACCTGGAGGAAAATGAAGGAATTAATCTTTCAGGTATGGTCATGGAATACACAGGGTTTTTGTATAAAAGGTCGATTAAAAATAGACCAGTTTACTGCCCACACCAACCAATCATCTTCTTTCGTTTTATTTTTGATCCGGAGCTTTAAAAATGACAACTGGCAGCTGATTGGGTGTTGTGGGCAATAGGCTAGTTTACCTTTTTTTTAAAGTGGAATTCCAGGCTATACCAACACTTCTGCTGATTAACATGTGCAAGAAAGATGTATATACTTGCTTATTTGCAGGCTGTTCTGGTCTGGTCAGGTGATCCCCGTGTCAGCCAATGGTGGCTACAGGGAACAGTTGAGAGCGCCCAACAATGGCTGGTAGTACCTAGGAGCATAGGCTCCTATGGCCCATCTGTTGGTGCTCCTAAGCCCCCCCCCAACTTCTGACTGGCAGAGTAAATATACACATTTCTTGCACAGGTGTTAGGTAGGGAGGGTGCATTTCTGAAATGAGTAGTTCAGTATAGCCTGGAATTCCACATTAAAGGCCTGAGTTATGCCAATAATAATTGCTCCAAATGATTTAAGATAACACAAATCCCTATGGCATCAGCTGCACAGCAGTGTCTAGTAGGAATTGTTTGCTCAAGGCTGCACAGTGCCCTAATTCTTTAGATGTGTTGGCTGCATTTTTTTTTTCTCTACAGGCTTCTTGTTGCTTATTAGCACCTGGTGATCCTGTTAGCAACAAACCTTTTTTGTCCCGTCAAGTTTTGGCTTTTTTTTTTTTTTTTGTGCCACTGTATCTATGGCGGAAACCACGTATGTCATACCATCTGGACTTTGTCTTGATTGCAATGCAGTGTAGACATATCTAACAGGTAATTTCTGTGCTGAAAATGTACTGAAAAGTGAAAACAAGTGCAACCACCCCACCTAAGGACTGATAATTATTTGGGGATTTAGATATACTATAAGTACCATTTACATGCTGCTATGTAGCTTATAGCATAGGGTATGTCATTAGCAATCAGATGAGCTTGACAGAACAGTGATTGCTAATGGTATGTGGTTTTAACCATACAATTGATTTTATTAAAACCAAGAATAGCTTAAAAAAAACACTTTTATCCATCAGGCCCACAGTAGATTAGTAGAAAAATAAAACCGACATGTAATCTATAATGGGTTCCTGTTTTACCTATGTGGCTGACTTAAAGAATAACTTAACAATAAAACTTCTATATTTTTTTTGAGCCTGAAAAGCATTGCACCAGTGATCAGTAGGTCACTGATGCCATGTAAGACTGCAAACCTGTCAGTGTATCTGCGTGCTCGTACCTCATATGGGCAAGCAGCTACACTGTGACGGGAAGAATCATTGAACTACTACAGCACGTGACAGCACATACTTCTGATCACTGCAGTAGTGAAGAGAAACTGCTATTTTTGGAGTGTCAGATTCCTGGTCTCCCACAGTGTTCAGTTTTTCAATATTCCAGCCCCTATGTCACTACAGGACACAGCAAGTAGGAAGAGCTACAGAGCACAGCGGAAGACCCACAAATCGACATTTCAGGAAGTGCTGGATACTGCAGGATCCTCAGTTGGTACTTTTTCATTTCATTACTGCAAAAGCAACCCCATGGACAGCAGCAGGGAGTATTCCATGTTTTGTTTGCAGGAAACCCTTTTATTGTAGTCTCATTTTAGCAACAAAGTTGCTTTAATGTCTAAATGTAATAATCCTAGCAATTTACATCACCGATGTCCGGTATTACATTTGTTTAACCAAAAAACGTAATGCTGTGTGCTTCCCTGATTTGACTTCACCATATTACTGGGGTCTAAGACAGATTACACTGTTTTATGAGATTGCCTCTGTAGAATACAGAGACCTGCTCATTGGATAGAGAAATGGTAGTTTTGTTACTGGACCCTGACGTGCACCAACGTCTCAGAGTTCAATATAGTCCAAGGAGGGTTTCCTGCCCTATAATAGGATAGGTGCCAGGAAAGGGAATTACAGGAACTATTGATTCAATTTTCTGTTTTCCTGAAGCCCAGCGGAAGGTACTGCATATCACACAATGTATTGCTTTATAATGCAAGAGAGGTGGATAGAGTAGACTAGTATTCCGCACTGTACTGTAGTAAGGATGGCAGAACCTATGTGATAATGGCACAGGAAGGTACTGGAAAGGGGAATGATGGTGGGTACAGAAGTATACTGTATATATTTACTGGTTCTGTGGGTTGGTAATGGCCCAGGGAGAGTATCAGATGTAATGTAGGCTGCCAGGAAACCATTACTAAACCACTTTGTTTACTGTGTGTTGGCATAGGGCAGTAGTGTAGATTTGTACATAAAACTGACTTAACTGATCCTGGTTGAAGGGGTAGGAAGATGACGCTGCCAAAATATGATCCTGCATTGTTTGCCAATTTTATGCTATGAACTTGCATTAGGGCAATTTCAGGAAAAGCCCAACAGGCTGGTTGTACAGAAGCTGATTGGTAGATTGACTTCTGTACAACCAGCCTGCACATACATGGATTAAAATTCACCTGGTTTGTGCTGAACCGACCAAATTTTGAACCATATATGGCCACTGTAAGTGGGTCTTACATTTTCTGCAGCTGGCATCGTGTGTCCTGCACTGCAGTGCCTGCAATTGGCTACTGATGTCAGCAGACTTCAGTTATATGGAATGAGTGTTTGGTGCTTATGGCAAAGGGCTACTGTGACGTCTCCCCGGACTATCTGTCAAATTTGAAAACCGCATGGCCGTGCAGGGCTCCGCCCACATGGCTGCATCATTCATTCACGGACTGCCATGAATGAATGAACTGCAAGTCCCGGCAGTCTTAGCGGCTGTCTGCTTGTAGTTTTCAATTAATTACCATGGTGCTTTGGAGTGCCGTGGTAATTCATTGAAGCTTCCTGTCAGAATATCTGCTTGACCATACATCCCGTACAGCAAGCAGATATTATGACAGATCTGCACGAGACCTGCATGGCATCAGTGATCTAATGATCACTGGTGCAAAGCTTTCCAGGCTCCTATAGACAAAAATAATAAAATGCACATTTTTTTGCAGGTAAAAAAAAAATTGTGCATTTTATTATTTTTGTCTGAAAGGTGAACTTATCCTTTTTTAAAGCCTCTGTAATCTAATAAAATGTTTTAACCCTGTTTAACTCCAAGATAGAAGGAATTTCTTCATGACAAAGATGGAATTTTGGTAATTTTTCTGGTTTGTGCTATTTTCATTGCCCTCCACCTAAACATGGACTGCATAGAAAAAAATCTAGTCAAAAAAGACACACACCACCAATAAACTCCATAATAGTGTGCACTTCCGGCCAATTTCTGATGCCTTTCTCTTCCCTTTTCTTTAAAAAAAACAAATTTTATTGGAGGTTTCCTGATCAAGGGTGTGTATATATTTTATTTTTCACCAACTCCTGAAATTGCCTCAAACTTTTTATTGTACCGCTGATTACATAC